CCCCCCACACAGTCTAGGGCCAACCCCCGACACGGGGGCCGAGCACCAGCCTCCCTGCCCAGACCCACCCCCCAGGCAGCTCCGCACCCGCTGAGATCCAGGTAGATTTCCATGCCCAGCACACAGAGGGCACGGACAGGGCCGTCCAGTGACAGGTGGATGATGCTCTGGAAGGACATGGCGCGGCCCTCCAGGCTGGCCGCCCGTATGACAGCCTTCGCTCGGCACAGCAGCCTCAGATAACCCCGGAGTTGCCCCGCGGCCCTCCCCCCTTATGGGCTCAGGGCCTCTCCGCCCCCCTGCTTGTTAAGGCTTCAGCAGCTGCCCAGGTGCAACTGATTTTCTCCATAGAGACTTGCAGATGGGGACTGGGGGTGGGGTGGGGTCTAAGCCCCCCGGCATCACTAATTAGCCAGGCAGCTGATTAATCAGGGCATCTGAGGCTGCTCCTTAGGCCTCTGGCCTTCAGCTGAGAGCAAGAGGGGAGTGGGGAGCGGGTGTGGGGGGCTGGGCAATCCGGGCGCTGTAGGACTGACTCAGATGGAAGCCGTCGGGGGTGAGCATCTGCAGGGGTGTGTGGGGCGACATCGCTGGGCTCAGGGGCCTCCGCTCTAGGGCAGGAGTATCCTGGAAACAGAGGAGGCGAGCCCGGCAAAGTGCTGGACTAGTGTTTCTCAGACCGTGGTGCCTGCAAAACCGATCGGGAGGCTTGTTAACGTTACAGATGCCTGGACCTGGCAGGTCCGGGGTGTGTGGCCCAGCGGCCAGGCGACGAGGGGGCGCACCTTGTCCCTGTCGGCAGCTCCCAGAGGCAACACAGCGAGTGCAGGTGGAATGCGTGGATGCAGGAGCCCTGGCTGAGCCTGGTTCTCCAGCTGTCCCCCGTCTCCCCTGAGCTCGCCCGGCAAAGGACTCCTGCTCCGGCCCAAGGGACTTACCAGCCGACGTGAAAGCTGTGCGCATTTCATGTTTTATGTGAAGGTTACGGTCATTCTTGAACAGGTGCCACACTCACATGGCTCCAGGTTCAGAGGGGCTGTGCCCTTCCTGCTCTCTCACCCACCTCGTTCCGGGTGGAGGCAGGACCAAGCACACATGCGTGCATACTCTCCCCCCTCCTCGTTTTTATGTAAATACTACGTGGTGCCCATATCTTGCTGTCTGCGTGTCATAGTGCGACTTGGGGAGAAGTTCTTCCCGGCAGCATGTGGAAAGCATCCTTACCCTTTCCTATGGCTCCGTGGTACCCCACACAGGGCCACACCATTATATGTGGACGTATTTGTCTCCCGGTTTTTGCCCTGACACACGGACGCTGTGACGTGTGACCTGGGTGTAACAGCACAGGGCGCGGAGGCTGGGTCCTGAGCGAAGACCGCTCAGTCGGCCAGGCTTGTTAAATTCAGGACTTAAAAGAAGAAATCTCCGGGCGCCTGGGTGGCTCAGTCGGTTAAGCGTCCGACTTCAGCTCAGGTCACGATCTCATGGTTCGTGAGTTCAAGCCCCGTGTCGGGCTCTGTGCTGACAGCTCAGAGCCTGGAGCCTGTTTCAGATTCTGTGTCTCACTCTGTCTCTGCTCCTCTCCTGCTCNGGCTCTGTGCTGACAGCTCAGAGCCTGGAGCCTGTTTCAGATTCTGTATCTCACTCTGTCTCTGCTCCTCTCCTGCTCACGCTGTCTCTCCCTCTCTCTCTCTCTCTCTCTCTCTCTCTGTCTCTCAGAAATAAATAAAACATTAAAAAAAAAAAGAAATCAAAAAGGAGAAATCTCCCTCTTTGGATGCCTTGCACATGCAGCATAACTATGGGGGGGCTTTATTTAGGGGACTCTTAGAGGCAGTAGGTGGGCCAGGAAGACCCTGCAGGTCCTTCTGGTTGGGCTAAAAGCAGCAAAATTAAACAGGCAGGATGTGCTCAGCCCCTACACACTCTCACCCACACCGCCCACCTGCCAGCCTGTTGCTCACACACAAGTGGCTGGAGGGAGGGGGCAGTCGTACGAGGGCGAGGGCTGGTCGCTGAGGGCTGGGCTCTGCATTCTGGCACCACACAGCTTGGGAACTCTGTTCCCCACTTGCCCGGAGGGGAGCCCCGCCTTGTGCCAGGGCTCTGAGCACGGTGGGGGCCAAGTACCCTCAGCCTGGAGGATGGAGCCCCCTCTGGGCACGGAAGGGACTTGGAGAGATCTAGAGCGGATCTTGCTTCCTCTCCAGGGGCTTCCTGGTCACCGCTGAATTCCAGGACCCACAAAAGCATCCTGGACGTAGTAGGTGCTCAGTAAATTCTTGTGGTGCCTATGACTGCGTGATCCCTGCCACCCTCAAAAAGATAAGTGAGTGTGCTTCCAGCCAAACCAAGCCTAGTTTACCTAGGTTTGTTTACCTACACTCCCACGGCTCCCTACCTGCTGGCTCCGCGTAGACGGCTCCCTTGGCTTCTCAGTGAGGCTCCCTCACCACTCAGGTATCCAGGGTTCATGGTCACTTTAGGTCACTCTGGTGGATACCTGACCCCTTCAGGACGCAGGTGCTCCCTCCCCCGGCTGCTCGCAGCAGACCCCCCCCTCCCGGAATTGCCCACGGCCGGTTCCCAAGGCTGTGTCTCCTCTTTGGGGGAAGCTTCCTCCACTGTTGGGAGACAGGCTGCTTGTTTTAATTCAGGACAACTCTGAGGGCCTATCCCGGCCCCAGGGCATCCCGTGTTTTACCCAAAATCTGCCCACCACATCCCCGTGCATCGTCCTCTGCTGCCCCTCCCCCTGCCCTCCCCCACGCGGTTCCCCAGGGCGCCCTCCGGGTCGCCACCCACCACCTCCCGGGCACACCTCCCTCTCCGAATCCGTTTTTGGAAACCAGACATAAGACAGTCACCAGACAATTTCAACTCAGAGGTTCAAAAGTCGAAGCCCACACAAAAGAGAACCCTCCGACGTGGTTTTACAAGATTCGATCTGCCCCCACGAAACAAGAAATGATAATGATGTGGCATGACAGGTATTAACCAACACTGTAGTGCTGATTGTTTTGCTGTATATAAGTGTATCAGGTCAACACGGTATACCCCCTAGCCTTGCACGATATTATGGTCTGTTCGATCTCAAGTTTTTCAAAAGTTATGCCTTGTCCCTTCCCACCCCCCCTCCCCATCAGGGTTTAACTCAGGTGCAAAGCTTGGAGCTGTGGAAAAGGGATGCTTCGCTTCTCTCTGCCTCTTCCACTTGCTGTGGCTGGAAACGGCGGTTCTTAACCTGTGGGGAATTAACTAACGGCCCCCAGAAGATGTCAGGGTCCTAATCCCTGGAGTCTGTGACCACGAGCCTTTGAGATGGGGAGATTATTCCTGGTTTTTCTGGTAGGACCCTAAATGCAATGACAAGTGTGTTTATAAGAGAGAGGCAGAGGGAGATTTGACACCCTGGCCCTTCGCAGAGGCTCCCACCCCCCAAGAGTGGCCCGGGGGAGGCTCACCTGCACCTGTCTTGGCGCCAAGGTCCGCTTCAGCCACCAGCTTGTCCCTCGGTCCTCCTGCAGCCCCAGCAACACAGCAAAACGTTTAGCTTCTGTCTGCTGAGCCGGGCAGCTGCCCCAGGCTGCCCTAAGGGTCAGGTTTGGAGACAACCTCACACCGACATCCCCTTGTGCACAGTCCTCTTTCTGGTCCATAGAAAACACTGGTACATCTTTTGCCCCAGCAATTCTGGAGGGGAAGCAACTGGCTGTCGTCAGAGGAGCGCGTTTTGACCCAGGTTTCTTTGGGTCCCTTTCTCCATAGTGTGAGGGAGGTGGCTTTGGACGCCCTCCCCTTCCACTGTCCTATGTCCTCCACGAGCACATGAAAACTATCTCTGGTGTTTTCTGAGCATCTCAGACTCTTTGGAGCCAAGAGCTGGCCTCAATTTTTATTTATTTTATTATTTTTTAAGTTTATTTATTTATTTTTGAGAGACAGAGAGAAAGGGAGAGAGAATCCCAAACAGGCTCTGCGCTGACAGCGCAGAGCCTGACGCGAGGCTCGAACTCTCGAACTGCAAGATGATGACCCAAGCTGAGATGGAGAGTTGAACACTTAATGGGCTGAGCCACCCAGGCGCCCCTACCCTCCCACCCCCCAGCCTTAATTTGTAAAATCTCAAGTCATCAGGTTTTATTTTCTACAGAGGAACCTAAACCTCTAAGTCAGGGTCATTAAAAAAACCAGACACAAAGGACACAGAGGGGACTAATGACTTCATGGCACGAACTGCCGGCTCCTGCCACCGGCCGCACCCTGCTCTCGGTAGCCTGGGGACAGCGTGAAACCAGCTCCCCGGGCTGCTTGGAACGGACACAACACATCTAAGGGACACAGAGAATGCACTGGTGTCTGGATGTCTTTCACGTAACAGGGGAATCCTTATGCCACCCCCCCCTCCCGGGGTTCTTCCGTCACCTGTCTGTTCCCTTTTCCTCAAAGAACAGCGGGGTCAGGAATGCGATTCCTGGTCCCACCTCTGCCCTCGGCACTTTGTGCACATCCCTTTGGGGTCATGGAGAAGCTGGAGGCTGATAAGACCGTCCCCGCCTCTGCGCCCACAATCCAACCTACTTTCTGTAATTTTCTTCATCACGAGATGCACAGCTGTGGTGTGTATCTTACACACACACACACACACACACACACACACACACACTAGTGCAAATAAGCAAAAGAGCCAGGATGTTCCCAGCCGGCTGTTTGGGAACTGACTTCAATTCTGCCAGGAGGAAGGACGTGCTGCCTCCTCAGGGGGGCTCAGCCCTCCTCCCCACCCCACCCCCCATCCTTCTCCCTCAAAGTCACCGTGGGAGCTTAGGATCAGCTAGGCTCAGATCACAGAAGATTTCATAGACCATGTACAGCCATGGGAGAAAAAGACACATGGCCTTCAGCATTTCCTGGAGCACCTTCAAGTCTGTAACATTCAGTTTGATCATGACAATGGGTGAATGCAGAAACGATAGCAATGACAGCTTGACCTCGCTTACAAAGCAATTATAAAACTTTATTGCGGCATCTCACAGCAGAGCGGCGCCTCCAATGCCAGGACTATCTTGGGGTCTTCCAAGTGGGGTTGGGGGGTGTGGGGGGCCTAAGGGGCCAGGGCACAGCAGAAGTAAGGAAGTAAGCCGCTGCCGGGAGGGCGGCCACACCCAGGGAGCCAAAATGTCCCTAAGAGCTCTTGCGATGCCACACTGCAGGGGACCAGAGCTTCTAGCCAGGACAGCAGTGGGGGATGGGCTCAGGGCACCATGTGCCACCACTTGAAGGAGAAGGGCTGCCGGCGCACGTTGGTGCCGCAGTGCACCTCCCCATGCCGCACGTGGTAGGCGTAGAAGTCGTCGATGAAGGTGCAGTGGAGGCCCAGTGGCTCCAGCAGGGACCGCACCTTCTCCTCCAGGCAGCAGCGGCCGTTGATGATGGGCCCGAAGGGCTTAGGGATGCCCAGGTGCTCCCCCAGCACCAGCATGTTCACCTGCGAAGATGCGGGGTCCCGGGTCAGGGGCGCCAGCGTGCAGCCCGCATCACCATCTGCCAAGGGTCCCCCTTTCCTTCTGGCCTTCAGAAACAGCAGCCCCACTTCGCAGATGGGGAAACCGAGGCCCAGGCAGGTCAAGTGGGCTACCCAGTCCAGGCCTTAGACCCAAGTCTGTCAGAGACTCCAGGACCCATGTCCTTCCCCAACTGTAGCCTTCTGGAAAAGTCTCTATTACTCAAGGTCCAGCTCAAATGGCACTACCTTTGTGAAGCCACCCATGAGCCCCCGAACTGCGGCAGTCAGTGCTCCTCCTCAGTGCTCACCTGGCTGCCAGCCTGGCGCCTGGCATAAAGGAGGCACTTAGTAACTATCTGTTGAATGGATGAATAAATAACTACTACCTTTCTGGCAGCACTCTCATGTAAATGACCATTTCCTCCCCTATCTTGGAAGGTGAGAAACGACAAGGATTTTGACTCCAAGCCAACATGGGTTGGCTCCAGCCCTGCTACTCAATAGCTGTGTGACCTTAGGCAAGTCACTTTGCCTCTCTGAGATGCATCAGCAAAATGAGCCCAAACACATTGCTGTTGCCATGACAATTCGATGCCACGCTCATGGGGCACCATGCCGGCACGGAGTAGGTGCGGAGTCAGTCTCCAGGGCTCAGGGGTCCTGGGAAGGCACGTCACTCTCTGTCACCATGCAGACGCAGCTCATGCTGGGTGTCCTGCGCCCTGAATCTCTCCACCTGTCCCACATCCACGCCGTCCCCCTTCCCACCGTGGGCTCCTGGGGGTGAGTCAGGGTGCGTGCTCAGGCTCCCTCCAGGGCCTCGAACCACCCAGTGCTGCCCACGACTTCACCTGCGAGGCCTCATCCTCAGCTAACGGCATCAGCCGGCTTTCCTGCCTGGTTGGGCGACAGCAAGAAAAAAATTGCTCGGCGCCAAGGAACTGAATTCAAGGTGTCCCTTCCTGCTTGTTTTTCGGCCACAGAACCTCTTCTTCTAAATAAAATCTGCTGCAGCCCCTCAATGCCTAAAACAGCAAAAAATCCAAACTGCTGTGTTGGAACCTCAGTGACCCGGGGAAACAGTTTGACATCCACTGTGCCGGGGACTGGGGACCCAGCAGGACAGGGTAGCTGGGGCCCCCACTGGGGTTTCTGCCCAGCCCCTGGGTACCCTTTGGGGACACAGAGGAAGGGCACAGGCTGTAAAAATACAGCTGATGGCTTTAAGGTGGTCTTGGGGTGGGCGAGGAGGGGTCACGGTTAAAAGTCCTTGGCGAAGGCGGGATCTCCCTCAAGTTCACCCTGCAGGGCAGTGAACCCATCCCGCACCCCCCGGCGGCACTAGCCTCGCGGCCCTCCCTCCTGACCACCCGGTCTGAAGCGCGCCCCTGGCTTAACTGAGAGCGGCTTGCAAGCTGCTTGTTCAAGGGCGCGCCTACTCCCCGCCCAAGCCTCCCGCAGGGAAATCCATAGCGGGCAGCGCCTCGGTGGATCCGGTCAGCCAGACCCCTGGCTTGGATCCAGCTCTAAATCCCGTTTTGCCAGCTGCCTGTTCTTGTGCCAGAGACCCCGCTTGTCAGTGTCTCATCTGTGAAGGGGGACGATGACAGTCTCGGACTCCCCGGGCGGCTGTGAGAGGCCCACCCCAACCGCACGGCCACGCCCACCCGACCGCATGCCACGCCCACCCCGAGCACAAGGCCACGCCCGCCCCGAGCACAAGGCCACGCCCACCCCGACCGCAGGTCACGCCCACCCCGAGCACAAGGCCACGCCCACCCCGACCGCACGGCCACGCCCACCCGATCGCATGCCACGCCCACCCCGAGCACAAGGCCACGCCCACCCCGACCGCACGGCCACGCCCGCTGGCCCCGCACCCAGGGCCCCTGACTTCAGGCCGTTGGCACCGGTGAGCCGGACCGGAGACCAGGTCCTCACCATGTTTGGGAAATAGGCTTCCGCCTTGAGGTTCCCTCTGAGGTCATCCTGGAGCTTGAAGAGCTGGGGGATGTCCACGATGTCCCGCTCGGTCAGGCCCAGCTCCCGCTTCAGCACCTCCCGGTTCCAGTCGATGCATTTCTGGGGCGGTTGGGGGGTGGGCGGGGCAGGGCCAACTCAGGCGGGGTTGGAGGGGCGGTGAGGGGGCGGTGGGCACGGTGCGGTGGGGAGCGAAGGAGGGGTGGGGACCGCTGTGGGGGAGGGCCGCCTGGGGCTGAGGCCTGGCCTAGGGACCGGCTAGGGACAAGGTGGGGAAGGCAGTGCTGGGCGCCTCCGTTCCTTCCCTCCTGCCTGCTCTGCGCAGCCCAGTCCCTTTGCCCCCGCGTGTGTGTCCCTGTCTTTCCCGTCTGTCTAGCACTTGACCTTTCTCCTGCTCTGTCTCTGTTTCTGAGAGCTTCCCCTGTCTTTTTCTGGCTCCAGCCTTCCCGTTTTACTTCCCCCCTTTTCCATGCATCGTATGTGTGTGTTCCTGCAGTGGTGACTAAAGTCTCTCTCTGTCCCACACACATTGACGCGAATCCCGGAGCCGTTCGCCACCAAGCCGGAAGGCAGCTGGTGGAAGGCTCTGCCCTGGTGCGGAGATTTCTACACCTGGTGTAGAAAGGTGGCGGGGCGGGTGGTTAGGTCTGCCCGGACTGTGGCGTCTCCGGGGCACCCAGCCTAGTACCTCCACGTATGAATTATCTTCTCTCAGTTTCTCGTTGGACAGAATGTCCTTTATTTTCTGTTTTTTTCCTGTCGTGGAGAAAAAGAAAAAAAACAGCAGGCAAATTCAGAGGTCAATTTCTGTCTCCCTGGTAGGCACGGAGGGGACTCGGTTTTCCCATCTATAAAATGGGGGCAGCTGGAATTCCTAAACATGTAGGTCTGTTGGGAGCATCTGGCAGGCAAATGCCTTAAATAATATATTTTATCAGTGTAAGTTCTCCTTAAAGGTGTTGCTCTCACATCCTTACATTATCTCCAGAAAAATCCCATCTAGTGAAAGGCAAACAGGGGTCTAAAGTTGCCTGATGCCACACGACATACTACAGATAACAGGTAAAAACTCTCAGCCGTGACTTACTAACCTCCGACACCAGCTCATATCTGTGGACTTTAAGATTACCTTCAGCCAGACTGAACTTTCATTCACTCATTCATTCACTCACTCATTCATTCATTCATTCATTCATTCATTCATTCACTCAGGACTTAAGCCAGACTGAACTTCCTTCAGGTTCTCAAACACATTTCACTTTCTCTTGCCTCTGAGCCTCTGCATTCGCTGTTCCCTCTGTCTGAGATCTCTCTCTTCCTCTCATCCCACCACCCTATGGGGTGAACTCCTGCTCCTTCCTCATGCTCCTGCCTGGTCTCTGCCTCCTCCAGGAAGACCCCTTGGACTCCTCCCAGAGACCTCCAAGCCCCTGTGCTGTAGCTGTCTTTCTGACTCCCTTCCCGGGGACTGTGAGCCCCGACAGCGACAGCGGGAGCTCTTCTGCCCTGTTCACACAGCATCCCTGGTGCTGGCGCACAGCAGGGGCTCTGAGGATGGGTGAGCGCCTCCCGCTGGCAATCGGGGAGCGCACGAAGGCAGAGAGAGGACCCCGGATGGAAAACCAAGGCACGGCCAACTCACTCTTGACCCCTTCGAATAGCAGAGCCTCGCCGTGGCCGTCCTTGAGCTGCTCTTGGAACAGTTTGTAGCAGGACCGGGGGCTGGCGAGGAGCAGCCGGAAGCCCTGGAGGCAGAAATGCTGGGGTCAGAGTCTGACCCCGGGGCTCCCAGGGCGGCGGGCTTGGACCCAGGCTGGTCCCCCTCCTGGGGTGGAGGGAAAGCGAGTCAGGCACGTAGGGCCAGGCCTCCCAGGCAGAGTGCAGGGAGGTACTTGGGAGCCCGGGTAGGAGGAGGCGTGCGGCTTCCTCCAGGCAGCCCCCACACTGCACCTTCTTGTGCACGGGGACGAAGCTCAGGAACTCGTCCACGTGGCCCACAAACAGCCAGTCGGAGTAGAGCTTCACCGGCGCCTGCACCTGCTGGGCGCTGAGGAAGTCCTGCAGGGCCTGGTGCATCTCCTGGCTCTCACTGCTGCTGACACAGGATGGAGGGGGCGTTATGGAGGCGGGGGGCGGGGGGGGCCTCCGAGGGCCAGGAGGCTGGGCAGAGGGGTCGAGGTTCTGCTTCAGCTAGGGGAGGGGATCAGAAGCCTGGATGCCTTCAATTCTCTCCTCCAACGCTGAAGGGGTTTAGGAGTTGCCATCCCAGTTTTATTGGGGGAAACTGAGGCACCAATTCAGGACAGCAAATAAGACCAGAGCTTAGCCTCAGGAAGCAAGACCCATTGCCTCAGCCCAGATGCCGGTGTTGTGAGGAAACATGGGGCTTACCCGTATTGCTCACAGTTCCGTGGAGAGCCGGTCCACTCTCAGTGGATAATCTGTGTGGCCTTGGGGACATTAGCTGTATGGCCTTGGGGACATTCCTTCACCTCTCTGGCCTTCAGATTTCTCCTTGCTCTGGTCTCCAAGGTCCTTCCTGATCTAGCCCTTTGCTCTCTCTCAATCTGCTCTGGCCACCCTGGCCTTCTTGAACACACCCAGTTCAGTCCTGCCTCAGGGCCTTTGCACATGCTCTTTCATCTGCCAGGTACCCTCCACCCTAGATCTCCAGGCAGCCATGTCCCTATTGCCATCAGGCTTTCCCTGATGACCCTCACAGTCCCCAAGTCCCTGGAGTCTGTTGAGGCCCTGGGATTGGAAGCAAGCAGGGAGGGCTTCCATTGTGGCCCTGGGTCCAGCCCTCTCCGCCCCTCCCCTCCTCACCTGGGGTAGCAGCTGCTCCCAATGAGAATCCTGCCCAGAGGGTATTTCTTCCTCCCAACCTTGACCGGGGGGCTCACTTCCAGGTTTCCAAAGGAGTCAAGGTCAGAAGCCCCTCCTGTTTGGGGCCCTCGAGTCACGTAGCCAAAATCGGGACCCTGAGATGGGAGAAGCACGTACCAAGTGCTAGAGAGCGAGGTCCCCGCATGAGGAGAGCGCGGGAGCCACGTAACGGGAAGGATCTGGCAACAGCCAGCAGCCGGTTGAGCGTAGGCTCGGCTGTCCCTTGTGGGATATGCGGAAGGGGCGCTGACCCAGCTGGTAGGAAGAGGGAGCAGTGTTTGTTGAGTGCCTCACACGTGCCCTCGTCTCTGGAAATCTTAACTCGGCTGTAACAACAGATCCGCAAAGTACCATTTTTGCCCTCATTCTGCAGAGAAGACATGCAGCTCAGAGCGGCATGTGGCTTCTTCGGGTCCCACGGCCAGCTGTGGAGGGACAGAGAGTCGAGCCGTCTCCACAGCAAGGCCTTCTGCACCACACCATGCAGCATCCTGACCTCGGGCTGCAGCGGGCTTCACTGAATGGCTGTGATGTCCCCGTGGGGATCTTTGCAGAAGAACGGGGTGGGTGACACATCTCTCCTGGCCTGTGTGAGTCTCCTGTGGCTGCTATAAATCCATCTAGTGGCTTAAAACAACATGCATTTATTCTCTGATGACTCTGGAGGTCAGAAGTCTGAAATCAGTCTCACCAGGCTAATGTCAAGGTCTGGCAGACTGGTTCCTTCTAGAGGCTCTGAGGGGAGAACCTGTTTCCTTGCCCTTTTCGGCTTCTAGTAGCTGCCTTGGCTACTGGTCTCCCCCATAGTCTACATCCTCTGTTGCTGTCATCAAGTGCCTTCCCCCCTCTGCTGTCCCCCTTCCAAGGAGCACCACAATGGCACAGAGCCCGCCAGGTAACTCAGGGGCACCTCCCCGTCCTAGGGTCCCTAACTTAATCACATCTGCAAAGTCCCTTTGCCACAAGATAGCCTCAGGTCCTGGGGATTAGCACAGGGCCGTGTGTGCGGGCCACCATTCTGTCTACTGCACTAGCCCTAGCTTTTTACAAATTGATGGAGTTTCATGGGGGCCACCGACTCCCTGCAGGCAGATTCTAAACCGTGAGCTTGCGTGCATGTCTCTGGGAAGAGAAGTTGTCTCAAGTGACGTCTATGACTCCCTCGGTTTAGAAACCATTATTCCTGGGGTGTCTGGGTGGCTCAGTTGGTTGAGTGTCTGACTCTTAATTTCTAGCTCAGGTCATGATCTCATGGTTTGGGAGATCGAGTCCTGTGTCAGGTTCTGCGCTGACAGCACCGAGCCTGCTTGGGATTCTCTCTCCCTCTCTTCTGTTCCTCCCTCATGCACGTGCTCCCTCTCCCTCAAAAATAAATAAACATTAAAAAAAGGACCCTGCAATAATTCCCCATTTCCCAGAGTTTAAACAAATAGCCTTTAAAAAAACAGTCCCCCGGGGCGCCTGGGTGGCTCAATTGTTAAGTGTCTGACTTCGGCTCAGGTCATGATCTCACGGTTCGTGGGTTTGAGCCCCGCATCTGGCTCTGTGCTGACAGCTCAGAGCCTGGAGCCTGTTTCAGATTCTGTGTCTCCCTCTCTCTGACCCTCCCCTCCTCATGCTATCTCTCTCTCAGAAATAAATAAAACATTAAATAATAATAGTAATAAATAAATAGCCCCCATTTATATCCCCATCACCTCTCTGACAGCCTCTCCTTCTGCCCCCACTTCTTCTCTGCGCCCCTGCCCACCCAAATCAATACACCTTTGATTGCATCATTAAAATATCACACGGAGGTCTGAAAAGTTACCCGGCAGCCTGCTGAACCGTTCTTTTTTTCAGAAACGTAGACACCAGCCCCCAGTTTTCTGATATCCTTAATTTAACTCTTGTGGCTTGCTGAATCAAGGCAGCTCAGTCTGATACGAGTTCAATGTCATTTCCTTCAAGAATGAACTCATCTTTCTGGACTTGAGATATTGAACAAGCAAACGCCTGGCCTCATCCGAACCCTGTGGATGTGGTTTTTTGTTTTTCTTTTTTTCATCCAAGAGGTTTTGGATTTCAATAGGAGAACCATTCTCCTGAATAATGACATTGATGGGGAAGCAAGCGTGCACGGACCTCATCTTGTAACGGAAGCCCAGCGTGATGCCCTTGACCATGTTCTGTACACAACTACAGACGGTGCGAATGGCAATTGGTCTTCTCCAGGTCTTTCCAGGGAGACTGAGCCCTGCACTGATGTGGTTGAAGTCCCGCCACAAGGTTCCTCTGGGGCCCTTCATGATCATTCTCCTGCCAGATGTGGCAAAGAGCTCCCTTCCTCTTGCTTGCTCTGTTCTACCCCATCTGGCCTCTTCACTCTCCCTTGAACATGCCAGGCATGCTCCTGCCTCAGGACCTTTGCACTGGCTGTTTCTCCTGCCCAGAACACCCTTCACCAGACACAGCCGACTCTTTCACCTCTTTTGAGTTTTTGTTCCAGTGTCAGCTTCTCAGAGAGGCCTACCCCGACCACCCTATTTAAAACTGCAAAGTAGGGGCGCCCAGGTGGCTCCGTCGGTTGAGCATCCGACTTTGGCTCAGGTCATGATCTCACAGTTCGTGGGTTCAAGCCCCGCGTCTGGCTCTGTGCTGACAACTCAGAGCCTGGAGCCCACTTCGGATTCTGTGTCTCCCTCTCTCTCTGCCCCTTCCTTGCACATGCTCTGTCTCTCTCTGTCTCTCAAAACCAAATAAGTGTGGGGATAAAAAAGAACTCTTGAAATGTCACACTATCTTAAAATAAATAAATAAATAGGTAACTAACTAACTAACTAACTAACTAACTAAAATTGCAATGTGATCACCTCACTAGTCTGGCACCTGGGAGCCCCTTGACTCTGCTCTTTCTTTTTTTCCTATAGCACTAGATCCCACCTCCCAACATAGAGTATAATTCATTTATTCATTGTACTTATTGTTTATTGTCTGCCTTTCTGGGCTAGAATGTCACCTCCATGAGGGTGAGGGACCCTGCATTGCTCACTGATATTCCAAGAGCCTAGAACCAGGCTGGGCACAGAGAATGGGCTCAAAGAATGTTTGATGAATGAATGATAAATTCATATAAGTCACTGCCTTGGCTACTGCCAAGGGAGGAGCTCAGTTTCACAGGCTGTAGGCTTGGCTTTCTTTCATTCATTTTTTAAAGTTTATTTATTTATTTATTTATTTTAAGTTTATTATTTATTTAAGTTTATTTAAGCAAGAGCAAGCGGGGGAGGGGCAGAGAGAGAGAGACTCCCAAGCAGGCTCTCCACTGCCAGCACAGAGCTCCATGTGGGACTCGAACTCATGAATCACAAGATCATGACCTGAGCTAAAATCAAAGAGTCTGACGCTTAACAGGCTGAGCCACCCCGGCGCCCTGTGGGTCAAGGCTTGGATTTTTGATGGCAAATGAAGGTCTGCAGAAGTGGGGCCCCCTGGGATGGGGACGTGCCAGGAACCTCACACATGCGACCTGAGCTGATAAGCTTTTCCAACACAGACTTAGCAACAAGTCGCCTGCTTAACTCTCCTCTAGTCTTTCTGGTTCATCAAAGACCCGGGGTGCGCAAATCCATCCTCAAAACCAGCCAGTCTCCCAATTTAACAAGCAGAGGGCTGACTTTGGCTTCGCACTTGCACTCATTCCTACTGAACTGGCTTTAATTTCTTTTTTAATGTTTATCATTGAGAGACAGAGAGAGACAGAGCACGATCATGGGAGAGGCAGAGAGAGGGGGAGACACTGAATCTGAAGCAGCTCCAGGCTCTGAGCTGTCAGTACAGAGCCCAACGCGGGGCTTGACGCATGAACTGGGAGATCATGACCTGAGCCGAAGTCGGACGCTTAACAACTGAGCCGCCCTGGTGCCCCCGAGCTGGTTTCATAACATAATTTTGTTTGATCCTATTTACCTTCTGGCTGCCTTCTATTTATGGTAAGTGCTGCTGGCTTTCCACAGACGGGTGTCCAAAATTTACTGACATTGTCTTTTGGGAGGAGCACCCACCGCGTGTCAAACTGCGTGCAAACTGCCCTGTGCACAGGGACGGGCGCCCCGGCCTCGGGCCCTGCCCTCCTGCTGCTGACAGTCTAGCAGGGAAACAGACACGATCACGGAAGTAGCCAGTTAGGGATTTGTCACAAAACACCCCCAAAGAAACCAACAAGGCGCTGTGGTCGTGAATGCCAGGGGCTGGGGCGGGGCGTCCTGCGTGGTTAGGGATGACCTCACTGAGGAGGCTGGGACACAGTCCGCCATGGGATGTGGTAAGCGGGAAGAGCATTGTAGGCAGAGGGAACAGCATATGCGAATGAGGCGAGTACAATTGGGCAATTGGGCACATCTGGAGAACAGGAAGAAGGTCAGTGGGGCTGGAGCTGGGTAAGGGGCCGGGGAAGCGGCTCGTGATGTGTCTGGAAAAGCAGAGGGGGTTGTTGCCTGGTGACAAGTTTGACTTTTATCCCAATTCTTTTCCTGAGGGGTGGGAGTCCGAATCCCGCAGACACGCCCGCCTCAGCAAACGGTGCAGCCCCTCATCCAAGGCCGGGTGTGGGAGAAGATGGGACACCCGTGCTGAGGCGTCTGTCTGCCCACAGGACTCTGGACATTTGGCTTGTGACACCAGAGAATCTGACCTTTGTCACACTCAGATTGTCAAAGTGAGAGACGGGCCACCGAGCAGAGAGGGCTGAAGACAGAGGGAGGGACGAAGTCCCCAGCGGCATCTGGCTCATCTATCCCCATGGTCCTGAAACAGGATTAACCTGATTCGTGCGGAGAGACACCTTGGATGCAGCAAAATCTCTGCCTCAGCACCACTCAGCCCAGAAGTATGAGCCGGACGCACACAAGTTGCTGAGTTGAACGCAGATTTTTTCAAAGCTTCCCATGTGGGCAGGGCCTCCTCCCCTTCCCTGGGGCTCAGGGTGCTCCCCGGGAAGCCAGGCATCAGAGCAAACCTTGCACCCCACACTCTCCCCTATGTTCCCTGGACACCCCGAATCAGCCTGGAACGTGGGCCTGGCGGCCATGCTGGTTACAAAGCTCACAAAGCTTCTCCTCTCTTCCTGTGTGACCCTGGAAAAGCTGCTTCACCTCTCTGAGCCTCAGTTTCTTCATCTATAAAATGGGCCTAGTGATAGCATCTAGATGAGAGGTGGTTGGACACATCAAATGAGTCAGTGCAGATAAAGGATTTGGCACTTTGACTGACACAGAACACGGGCTCAAGAGATGTCACTGTTGTTATTATAATTCTGTGCTGAGTTTGCACAGACCTGCCGGGCTAGTCCGGCCGATCAGCCAAGATGTCACCCCCTCCACCCCCAAACACGCGCACAGTCACATCCAGGAAATGACCACTCTGATCCCCAAACCCACCCCATACCGCAGACAGAGCACCCCCAAAGGCCAGACCCTCCAGCTGGACCCTAGGGAAGGTTCTGGTCCCCACTCCACCTCCACCTCGCAACAAGAGTATCTTCAGAGGTCCAAGGATGCCCAGGCCTGACCTGCGTCCCTGGCAGGGTTGTTTTGAGGACATGCTGAGCTCACGGCTGGAAAGAGCTTCGGGAAAGGAAGGGTCGGATCTCATCTTGGCAATGATGAAAATAACACAGCCCCCCTGCGCGATCGCCCCTCAAGCAGGAACGGCAGCTGCGGAGCCAGGGGGGCTCAGCCACAGGGACCGCCGTTGGTGGGGGGGACGGGCCGGGAGGAGGGGAAGGGGATCTCAGCAGCTCTGGCCCCACCAGCACGTACCAGCAGGCATTTGATGGGGAATTCCTTCAAGCCTCTGTTCCTCGGAGAGTCGAAGACCACAGGCAGTGTCTTGTGCGGGGCTTGGATGTAGCCCACCTCCATTTCATCCTGCGGAGAGTGAGTGGAAGGAAGGCTGATATGGGTGCCGTGTGGGTTGTGACACCCAGTGCAGGGATGGAGGGGGATGTAAACCATCTACCCCCCGCCCCCAATGCCGTGGCCAAGGGCAAATTCCACCCCAGAGAAGGGGCTCTGAGGAAGCGGAGCTCATTATCCTGTGTTTGCACAAGCAAGTTCACCCCCACTCCTGGTGAGTGCTGGGGCCCCTGATGCAGGTGCTCGGCCCGTGATGCGGGTGCTGGGGCCCCGGTGAGCCCTGGGCCCTGCCCTCAGGGAGCCCAGCATGTAGCACCCAGTGTGAGAAGGTGCTGGGTGGGAAGGTGAGGGTCTGTTGGAACACACAGGAGGGCTCCTGCTGCTCTGCTAAGGTGAGGCCCGAGGGTGGGAGTAAGAGAATCCGCCCCTCCCAGAGTGGAGGCAGGTCAGACCCAGCCTAGCCTGTGGGGCAGAAGCAGGAAGGGCTGGGAAATGATCCATGGAGCAAGTCCCGCCCACATTCTGGTAGCCGATGTGACTACTATTAGGCCCAACCCCTGAAGGTCCAAAATCGTGCAGTTAGCAATTTCGCGCCATTCAATCCAATTTACCATGGAACGATGAAAAAGGAAGAAAGGGTTTATGTGTGGGGTTAGGAGAGGGATGGGGAAATTGAGGGAGGGGAAGCTTTCAAGCTGGGATTGTATGAGCCTGACCCAGACGTGGGGGATGGGAACAGGGAGGACAGAGAAGAGGGAGCAGCATGAGCAAAGGCACTGAGGTGGGGGCAGGGTGAATGGCATGGAAGGGCAAAGAGCCCGAGAAAGCAGGGGAGTGGCAAGAAGGTTCAGCCAGCCCACCGGCTGCCTGCAGCCACTGCCCTGTGCCAGGCCCTGGGTGCTGAGCTGAGTGAGACTCGGTCCCTGACCTCGCGAAGCTCATAGCATGATGGAGGAGCCTGGCGCAGAAACAGAGCAGGGCTACAGTGCGGCCAGCAGGCTGGCCTAAGGTGAGGGGCAGCCAGGTCGGGGTGGGGGGGGCCTGGAGGCAGGCCAAGGAGCGGGTGCCAGAGCAGGGTGTGGCCGGGCACGGTGGCTAAGCCCATGAAGGCTGGCTGGGAGGAAGGGCCACCGGAGGGACCCACTGCGCTCCAGCCCCCGAGCTTTGCATCATTTCCAGACGCTTCTGAGTTTCCAGGCAGGAAGGTGGCTCGCATCTTGGTGACCGTGGCAGGCATGCAGTTGAATTGCTTGCCTGAGCCCCCAGATGCCGGGACCCTCAGGGGCTCCTCGCTTCCTGCCCATGTCGGGGAGGGTGGCCAGCAAGCCACGGGGCCAAGCCCTAGGAGCCTGGGTGCCCCGGGGTCCCTTGATCCTCAGCAGCATCCATCCTGCGCGTCGCAGCTCCTCTGGCCCCGGGGCCACGCACCTGCACCCACCGGTCCTCCATGCTCTGCTCCCTGGTGCAGATGGTCAGCTTGCACTTGGCTTCGTTGGTCAGCGCAGTCACTGACTTCAGGAAGTCCTCATTTTCAAACATCCTAGACAGAGCAGAAAGGAAGCTCCTTAGTGCTCTGGATTTGGTGGCCAGTGGCCTTGGCCAGGCTCTGAGGGGGCAGCTGGCCTCTGCAGGGTCCCTGGGGAGGGAGCAGGAGCTCAGGCCTGGACGGAGTTGACGAGGGGCACGGTGGCTGCTTGGGTGCCCGTGGCCTGGCTGGAGACGCCTGGCTCAGCCTGTCTCTCTGCTCTTCGCAAACATCTCACTGAACTCTTGCATAATCCACGAGGGGAACTTGCAGGGACCCTCCTTCCACTGAGAAGCCAGAATGAGGGGTCAATGCCCAAGGTCATGCCCCCTGGGGGTGAGCACCGAGATTTGTCCCCAGGCCTTGCTGGCTTCCAGCCCGTGTCCTGACCACTGGGTGACTCAAGCGGCTGGAAGAAGAGAGGGGAGGGTCCCTCGAGACCCCAGGATGCTTAACAGGTGCTCTCAGACGGCAGGGTGGAAGCTGAGGCACCCCAGAGCTGCACGTTAACAGGCAGATGAGCCCCATCCCCAGATCCAAGACCCCACGGTTCTGGGGTTGGCCGGGAACATGCATTTAAACGGTCTCTGGTGCGGACTCCCGGGAAGCCTGGCTTGCGGACTGAGGGTTTTTGTCCACCAGGTCTGGCACATTCTACAGTCCTTAGGCAGAGACAGCAGCCCCCGGCATGCATCAGGGCAGGGGAGTGAGAACAAAACGCCAGCAACAGCCATCTTCCCCGCCTGCTTCTTCCAAACTGGCCAGAAGCCCTCAGCCCACTACGCTAAGGGTCATTTCTCCCCATTCACACAGCAGATGGGGGGAGGGGGCGTGGCCAGCACCCAGGGCCCCTCCCGGCGTACCTGGGCCCCGCCGCTGGCACCCCGGACCCTCACCTGCACACGTACACCTCCTCAGGGGGCTGGGTGTTGGGGGTCATGATCCAGGGGGCCACACGGAAGACCACACTGTCTTGGAAGACCAGGGTCTTGGGCAGCTCCTGCGAGGCGTGGGGAGGGGGAGGGCTGTGGGCGTAGCCAGGGCCCAACACCCAGCACGTCCCAGAGGCTGTTCGGAGCCCCCTCCCCTACAGGACCCGTGCCTGGTGACCCAGGTCCCCACCCCCACTTGGGCTGCCATCTTCGCCTACCAGGTTGGAGGCGTCCAGCAGGGAGACAGTGAGGGAAACGAGCCCCGGGAAGTTGGCGTCCGGGAAAGCGAGGCCCTCCACGTAGAAGTCCGTGCTGTGCGGGCCCCCCGGGAGTTCCAGGGGGTGACAGGGCTGCTTCGGCCCCAGGACCGGCAGGTACCTGGAGGTCTGTTTGCCTCCTAGAAGAGAGAAGGGAGGCTCAGGCCTTCTCCCCGCTGCTGTGATGCCGTCCCAGGGCCACCACTGTCGCGATGACAGGTCACAGCTACTCAGAGAAAGAAACTTAAAGTGTTAGATGGGACATCGCCCCTGGCTGGGGGCCCAGGGGTCGAGTAACGGGGTGGGGGTGGGGGTACCTGAGCCATTCCCAAACATATATCTACAAGTCCAATAGACATTATGGTTCATTCTTTCGTTGGTTCATTCATTCATTCATTCGTTCATTCATTCATTCCTGAGCACCTGTTCTCAGCTGATACTGGGGGAGGCCAGGGAGGTAGTCACAGTCTCTGGGGTGACTGAGGAGGAGCAGAGACAGAATCACAGAGGGTAATAAGTGCTGTGATGGAGGGAACCCCAGAGGGCCAGGGAAGGCTTCCTGGAGGAGGTGAGGCCTCAGCAGAGGCAAAGAGTTGGTTTGTCACCACGTCAAGGTCAGTCTAATTACTTTGACCTAGATTGGACGTAAGTCAGATCAAGTTGTGCCTCTGCAGAGAGCCCTCAGATGGGCTCCCCCCGGCCCCCAGAGATGAGAAGGCAAAGTCATCCCATGCCTACCTGAGCCGGCCCTTCCCCTTCCTTCTCCACCCTCATCTTCCATGTTAACCCTCGAGTACTGCACTCCAGCCTCACTGGCCTCCCTGCCTTCCTCAAGCCCCCAGGCACCATCCCGCCTCAGGGCCTTTGCACTTGCGGTTCCCTCTGCATGGAGTGCCCTTCCCCTGAGTGTCTGTCTGGCTGTTCCCACACCTCCTTCTGCTCGAATGATACCTTAGGGAGGAAGCGTTCCCCCACCTCCTCTCCTCACAGCCCCAGACTCTGCCCCTCATCTACACCCCCTTCTGCACAGCCATCAGACGCTAGCTGTTTTACTTACTTATTCCATGCATTGTCTCTCAGCCCACCGAGAGGAAAGTGACATGGGTACAGGAGCGTTCATATGTGCTTAGCTCTGTGCCCTGCGCCTCCAGCAAGCCCTGCGCTCAGGAGCAGGTGTGAGCTGCTGCGAAGTTAATGCGGCCTCTGGTTAGCAGGAGGCGGGAGACCAAAGCATGACATGCCACGCGCAGTCAGCTCGGATTCGACAGTCTGTGTAAGCAAGAGTCCTATGTGTGTGCGTGCACGCGTGGCAGAGAGGAAGAGACGGACACAAGCACGGCAGCCCCCGGGAGGGGATTATGTCCTCAGCGCTCACGAGCACCAGACATGATGTTAGTGTCTGTCTGCATGTCATCTGTGTGCACTTGGTAGAAGGGAGCGGCAGAGAAGTGCATCTTGCTCACTGTCGCATCCTTGGCTCTAAGAACGTGCCACAGAACAGGGGCTCAGGAATTACTCGCCAAAGCGGGGTGTGAAGGGGCTGTCCTGGGCGGGACAGGGACACCAGGATGACAGTGAGGGATGACTCACGGCTGGCTTGGAACACCCTGACTTTGTCCATCTCCGACTTGGCCACGTGGAGGAGCAGCTGGTGCTTGGCGAAGAAGTCCCTCGGGGTCTTCGTGTTCAGGGTCACCAGGGACATGTCTTGCAGGTCTGGGGCGAGAAGGGCGGGGCCTGAGACCCGTTCCTTGCCCGCCGCCCCCCTCGGGCCCCCCTTTACCTTGTTGCCCGGTTTCCTTTTCTTTATGCTCTTTCTAAAATTCATTTTGGAATTAAAGCTAATTAAGTTTTTGGTCTTCTCCAGCTACGGTGAGCTTAGCATATAAGGTCCGTGAAGGAGGGGCCACGACTATGTTGTTTAAATGTTTTTTAATGCTGGGGCGCCTGGGTGGCTCAGTCGGTTAAGTGTCCAACTTCGGCTCAGGACATGATCTCGTGATTCATGGGTTCAAGCCCCACGTCAGGCTCTGTGCTGACAGCTCAGAGCCTGGAGCCTGCTTTGGATTCTGTGTCTCCCTCTCTCTCTGCCCCTCCCCTGCTCGCACTCTGTCTCTCTTTCTCAAAAATAAACATTAAAAATAAATAAATAAATACTTTTTTGATATTTATTTATTTTAAGAGAGAGAGAGAGAACAAGTGGGGAGGGGCAGAGAGAGAGGGAGAGAGAAAAAACCCAAGCAGGCTCTGTGCTGCCAGCTCAGACCCCAACATGGGGCTTGAACTCACAAACCATGAGATCGTGACCTGAGCTGAAATCAAGAATCAGACGCTTAACCACCTAAGCCCCCCGGGTGCCCCAACCCAGCTATCTTGTTCATTGCTCTGTCTCCAGCTCCTAGAGCCTAGAAGCACCTAGAAACACCTAGAACAATGACTAGTACATGGCAGGTTGCTTGATAACTATTTGTGGAATGAAGGAGCAGACAGGCTTCTCCCCTGGGCCCGAGGGAACCTGAATAGTGGGTGACAAAAGCATGGGGAGAGCAGAGCTGGACGACAGTAGTCACTGCTGGACAACAGTCACCGGGTTAAGAGAATTGGAGTCGGTGGGTCTGAGCCCCGGGTCTGTGCGAGCCTGGGCATTATTTCAGCTCTCGGTGCCTCTGCTTCGTTATCAGTGAACAGAGCTACGAGCCGTGCCCACGGGGAGGGAAGAGCAAGGTCATGCGTGCAAAGTGCTTCCTGGAGCAGCCAGCGTCCTGGGGGTGTCCACACGGGGCACTGGCTATTTTCATCATCACTCTGTGCCAGGCACCGCATGGAGGTGCCCTGGGCACCAGGCCGAGACGAGTGTGTGCAACTTTAACATCATCTGTGTCTGTGCTCTCCTAGCCACTCCCTCGGAAGCCCCCCGCCCCCCCACTTAGCACCCTCCTCCCCGGGGAAGTGTGCCTTCCATCCCAGCCACTTCAGGGGGCTGCCAGCAGAGACCCTGCCCCCACCACCGTGCTTGTGCCCTGGCACTGGGATGTCTGGGTTCAAATCCTGAACCTGTGACTTCCTGGCTATGTGACCTGAAGCGAACTGCTTAACTTCCCCATCTGTAAAATGGGGTGAGGACAGGATACACTTCCAAGCACTGAAGGATGAAATGAGTTACTGATTCTGAAGCGGTCACAGCAGTGTCCAGCATGTGGCAGGGGCTCAGGGCTGCTCGGACATGAGTTTGGGGGCGGTAGGCTTTCATTTTGAATTGTTTCAGGTCCCAGATTTGACCCAAAAGCAGAAACTCGGGTTGTGGGCAGCGGACGGGAGCATGGGGCCCGGAGGAGGCGTGGGGAGACCCAGAACTAGTCCCAGCTCTTCTCTGGCTGCTGTGTGACCTTGGGTGGGTGGCTTGCCCTCTAGGGACCCCTGTCCACTCCTTTTATACAACGGGCAAGCTGACAAGAACATGCTTCCAATAACCCATTTCTGTTACAAAGCTCAGGCTGTGTAGACAAAAGGGCTTTACAAAAAGACAAAGCTCTAGTTCCATTAGCTTTCTGGGCAGGGGTGAGGCTGGGAGCCGGGAGTCCTTACCTTCGCTGTCGAGCACCTCCTCATCCCTGCAGTCTATGGTGGAAGATCGGGGATTGTCCTTGTCGCAGTTCACCAGCAGGATGGCGCCTTGCCCGCGGGGGCCCCAGGTCCAGGTCCTCTGTGGACAGCCGAGACCGGGCACGTTCAGCCCCTCCACCCCCACCCAGTGCCCCGATAGCCTTGTGCAGTTTACACATCTCGCTCCCACATCAGGTCATTCTTTTTTTTTTTTTTTTTTTTTAGTTTATTTATTTTTGAGACAGAGAAAGACAGAGCATGAGTAGGGGAGGGGCAGAGAGAGAGGAAGACACAGAATCCGAAACAGGCTCCAGGCTCTTAGCTGTCCGCACAGAACCTGACGCGAGGCTTGAACCCACAAACCGTGAGATCATGACCCGAGCCGAAGTCGGACGCTTAACCGACTGAGCCACCCAGGTGCCCCATACATCAGGTAATTCTTGAGTCCCAAGAGGGGATTGTCCCTGCTCCAAAAATCCTAAACAAATTCACCAAAAATGCAATTCATCTCCCCATAAAAAGGCCCCAAGAGGGGCACCTGGGTGGCTTAGTCAGTTAAGCATCCAACTCTTGACTTTGGCTCAGGTCATGATCTTACAATTTGTGGGTTCAAGCCCTGTGTCAGGCTCTGACAGCACAGAGCCTGCTTGGGATTCTCTCTCTCCCTCTCTCTCTGCCCCTGCTCCACAAATAAATAAATAAACTTTAAAAAGAAAAAGAGCCCAAGACAATAAAATTGATCTTAACAGCTTTAAAAACCTGTCTGATGGGCAAACCAAACTGAGCTAAATTTTGTGTCAAGATTCTAATCTAAATAGCTACTCTTACATGAACTCTTACTCATTCCCCAAAGTGTGGATACTATTCTTAGCAGTCAATTGCTGTCTGTCCAAAGATTAAAGCCAATTAAGGCGCCCCTCCCCAGAGGGATCTAATGCGATGATGTTCTGTTTGCAGGACAGGATTCACCCCCAGGGAACGACTGGTATTGGGTGAGACATAAGCATGGAGCCCACTGGTCTGATGGTAATTCTTCCCTCTGCTTTCGGCTGACTCCACAGAGGGATCTTCCTCTTGGGACACATCCTGTCCGTCCAGCATGCACACCAGCATTAAATCGTGCGGGAAGCTTTGGGATTTCAGGGACACCCTGAGTTTATCATCCGCAGCCCCCAGTTAGGACTGCCTGGATGCCTCACCTCTGCACACACAGCTCCATCTTTCAGCGACATACTTTTTCTGCCCGCACTTGACTCCTTCCCTCCCCTGCCCCCTGCCAGTTCTTCCTTTCCCTTCACTCTGGTGAGGGCACCATGGGAATCTCTCCCACCGGCCCAGAAAGCCCCAGGTGGGAGATTTATTTTTCTAATTTTTTGCCAGAGTTAAGAACTGCCAGCATTAGCTGGATGACTCTGTCGTTTCCAATTTGTAGGACATCACATGCTCTGAACTCACAACTGGTGAAAATCTAGCTTTTGCAAAAGAGACGGGGAATATAGAAATCAAAATGGACACGGTGATTTGTAGTTTTCTTCTCTCCCTTCTTCTTCCTAAAGGGACAGGCGGCCATTCCTGCCGTCACCAGCAGGGGGCGCCAGAGGAGAACCCAAAGGAGTTAGGGCGCATCGGGAGCGTCCACGGCCTTGAACGTACCTGGCCTTTCCGGGCTCGGGCAGGCTTCACGTTGCCAGTGCGGGAGATGTCGGCGCTCAACGAGATTTCTGCGGGCCCACCGGGTAAGAGGAGAGGGTTGGTGAAGGGACAAGATCAAGGCACTCAGCCTGGCCCGGGTGGATAATCCTTCCCCCCGGGAGATTGCCTGCACTGCGTAGCTTCAGAAGAGATACAAGTTCAAAGACACCCCCATGCCCCCCAAGAAGACGTTTGACTGCAACTCAGGAGACCTGGGGCTTCTGGCCACACCCATTTCCCTTTGCAGGGAGACTTGCCACAGCTCTGATGCCAACTGGACCCTATGTGTCTAGCCACCTTCAGGGCTTTGGAAAGAATTCCCAGCTGCCCCCAAGGGGATGCTTGCTGCAAGGATACCTCCCCGGGACCCCAAAGACCTCTGGCCCCGACTCCAGCCCCCGGTGTCCTTGGGGTGAGGGGGACAGCCTCACCTGACTCTTCTTCATGTGTTTTATGACTGTACTGGGGACAAATCACGGCCACAGACATACCCCTCTCTATGCAAATGTCAAGTCCGAGAAAGCATACACCTGTTTCTAAATGCCTCCCACCCTCATCGGCGCATGTGAGCGCACATGTAAGGTGTTATGTACAGCATATGTAATGACCTTGTGAGCTCAGTGTGAAGTTGACCTGGATGACCTTTTACACACACCCAGAGCCATGTAGCATTGTCGGGTCAGAACAGCAGAGAGTTTAATGCTCTCCATTTCCCGGCTCCCTCACTAACCAGCTGCAGGAACTTAGGCAGCTCTGTCTGTCTCTTGTGCCTCCGTTTCCTCATCTGTAAAATGGGATATAACTACCAATTTCACTGGATTGTTGCACGGTTTAAATGTAAAGTCTTAGCACAGTGGCTGCTATAGAATTAGTGCTCTATTGTTCATATTATTTAAATGCATACCAATGAAATAAACATGTATTAATGAATGAAACTAATTCATTAAGGAATCTCATTAATGAAACGAAACCTGAAGTTTCCACATGTTGTTCGTATATTTAATGGACATGTAAGTGGTAATAACAATCTTATAAAATTACTGTTCATGATGAGGTCACATTAGAAAATATACTTTATTTAAAGAAGAATATTAAATAAATATGAGTCTGGGTGGATCATTGCTATGGCAGAATGGGAGCGATGGAAGGTAAGTCATGGCATGCGGGGAGCATTGGTTTATATATTATTGTATAAGACAGTGTCATCATCTACTTTCCTTATAAGTATTTGAGGTATCAAAAGGTGTAGAGACTCACATAGGGAAAATACATGTACCACTTCCTGAGTTGAGAAAAGATTAAGGTGTAATTGAACACTATGTAAATGCCCTCCTTCTTCCCCCAGTTGAATTTCTTTACAGCTCACTGATGGGGGAGGGAATGTTTGTGAAGCACCAGACATACGATCAGCTAGAAATCGTCCCTTTTTTCTGCTCAGACTAAAGTGAGATCCAGGGTGTAGTTTCTCCTGGAGCGATGCCTTGAACGGGTGTGTGTGTGTGTGTGTGTGGAGGGGGGCAGTGGCACCCCACGATCCTGTTCTTCACTTACCGACACCTGTGACATAGAGCAGGGCTTGGACCGGGCTGGTCTTGGGTCCATAGTATGAAATCTGAACCTAAAAGGCAGAGCAAACCATGAATGTCTTCTCTTAGTCATTCAACAAACAGTAACTGGACCCCTGCTCTTTGCCAGCGCAGGGTGGGATGCTGAGGAGGCAAGGAGGAGCAGGGAGTGGCCCCAGCCTGTAAGGAGCTCTCCAACTGGTGGGCGCCAAGGGGCCGCAAGTACTGGGGGACTCAGTCCGTTGAGGGTTCAACTTTGGCTCAGGTCATGATTTTGCAGGTGGTGGGTTCGAGCCCCGCATCGGGCTCCGTGCTAATAGCTGAGAGTCTGAAGCCTGCTTCGGATTCTGCATCTCCCTCTCTCTTTGCCCCTCCCCTGCTCGCGCGCACGCTCTCTCTCAAAAATAGATAAACCTTACAAAATTAAAGAAAGAAGTGGGCCCTATGGGATCCCAGAAATGGAAGGGCTGAGTCCGCGGAGGCTGGATCAGGGGGTACACTGTGAGGCCGACCCTGGAAGAGGAGTAGGGGCTCCGGCCCTGGAGACGTGGTGGAGGAGGCCTCAGAGGGAGAGCAGGTTGTAAGCCCCTCCGGCAAGCAGAGGGCGAGCGGGGACCTAAAGAGCCCGTGGCGCCCCGAGCCCTCGGAGGGTCTGGGGAGCGGGGGGTTTTAGACGCGAGATGGTCTCTTGGGGCCAGGTGCCTTGGAGACGAAGAAATACCAGCCCGCACATCCTTTCTCCCCATGCACCCCGCCCAAGGTTCAAAAATCCAGGAAGAGTGGATCTGATTGGCCCGCCCTGGGGGGGGGCGGGGAGAGGAGGGAGGGGGCGGAGCGTCAGGATTGACACTTGCAAGCAAAATGGCGAGGGGAGTTCCCCAAAGCAAATCCTCAGAGCTGTGACCACAGGAAGCCTTGCTCTGAGGGATGGACTGGGGTGTTTGGGTCTGTCCTGTGGATAATGGGGATCCAGGGAAGTGTCACAGCCACCGTGACCTCACGTCTAGACCATGGCATCAGCCTCCACGCTTCTGCCTGGATCCAATCTACTCAGGACACTGCAGGGGGGGGGGGGGGGGGGGGGGGGGGGGGGGGGGGGGGGGGGGGGGGGGGGGGGGGGGGGGGGGGGGGGGATCTGGGGAGGGGGAACTTTCGAAGACAAATGCAGACTTGGTACCCCGTGGATGTCAGGTTGTCACTGGTTTCCTGTTGCCCTCAGAAAATGAGGTGCTGCTGCCAAACCCTCTAATACTGGCTCCCTCTCTCCCCCACTTTCCTCTTCACCCTCTTTTCTTGCCGTGCACATCTTCCTCAGTTTCCCCAACACATGCCTGACCATCTCATCTATCGTGTGCACACCCGCCGCAGAGCCCATGTAGAGTTCTCACTCCACTTTCCCTCTCTCAGGTGGATCATTTCTACCATCCTTCAGCTTGCCACTTCCAGGAAGTTTTCCCTGATTGCACCCTCATGGACCTACTTTGATGTACAAGCTCTCCACTCCGACAGCAGGCAACAACTTTCCATCCAAGGGGCAGACTGCCTGTCCTGTCCTGCTGGAAACAAGTACTCATGGGCCCAGAACCCCAGGGGGGGTTCCTCGTGAGCTTATCTACAGTTAAAGGGGATACAGTGGGTTGAACGGCCGTCCCCCCAAAAGATATGTCTTGGAACTTGTGAATGTGACCTTGTTTGGAAAAAAGGTCTTTGCAGAGGTAATTGTTAAGGGTCTTGGAAGGAGAGTGTCATGGATTATCCGGGGAGGCCTTAAATCCACGACAAGTGTGATTTTGGACTCTGTCCTCCAGAAGGGATATATTTCTGTTGATTTAGGCAGATCGCTCGTGCCCATTCGGCCCAGCGCTTCCGAGGGCCGCTGGCTGTGGCCTCATACGCTCTCCACCATCCCAGTTGCTTCCCTGTAGTTTATCTAGGTTGTAAGCCCCGTGTGGTCTGCAGCCTCACCTGTCTTGACCCCTTCTGTACCCCCGGTGCCCGGCAGAGCCTGGCATGTAGGAGGTGAATAGTAAACACTTGCTGAATGGATGGACTGAGTCAAAGCCCTGACCTCCGCAAGCCCCTGGCGTCTCTGTATCTTGTGTGTGTGAGGCTGCTGGGGCTGGGACGGTTGTCACAGATATCCAGAGGGGAGGGAGCCCGGCGGGGCGGGGGCTGGGGGCCCATGCGGCACAGCCTGTGAGTAGCCACCCGCTGCGACCTGCTGACCTCCTTCCATGTCCCACACCGCAGCTGCCTGCCGCCCTCACCTTCTGGTCGCCTGTGCTGTCGCTGGCGGCTCTCATCCTCAGGCTCACCTCCAGGCTGGGGTCCAGGGACCACTTGGAGGAGCCCGTGGCTTTCTTCTTGGCCGGGGGGCCGGGGGCCACATCCACGACCACTCCTGGGGAGGCATTGATGCTGAAGGACGTGCAGCCCGTGGGGGCGGAGCTGTGGGAGTGACCGTTGGGGAGGACAGAGGGGCACAGTGAGGCAGGCCTGGGTCACCGCCGAGGCCTCAGCACTCTCCCTCCCCCCGCCCCCCCCAGCTGAAAAACACCGGAGGGCAGCCAGTGGGTGCTGACTGTGGTGGGGGGAAGGGGGGAGGTAGGGGAGCTTGTCGGGAGGTGGTGAGAAACTGACAGCAAAGGCCCCGAGCTGAAGGGCTTACACTTGAACTAGGAGAATCGCAGAGGGATGTGCACACCAAAGGCGCACACGCGGATGTATGCGTACAGCAGACAGCGTGCCCAGGGGTTTACACCACACAATTGTGCACACAGAGGATTGTGCCCAGATAAACAGGCATACAGACCCCTGCTTCTAGAATAGGGCCGGCCGGTGCTCTAAAGGACCTTCCTCTTACGAAACAACTGGATTGTGATTAAAATAGACTATTTAGAGCATTGCTGAGATCGTGAGACATAGGGGAGATCTCCAAGGGCTCCCTTCTGTGTGTGTACCTGCACACACACACACACACACACCCCACATGCGTAAATTGAAGAACAACCAAAACAAGGAGAAGATGTTAAAGACATCCAGAAGGAAGAGTCGGATCATCTGTGACGGAGTAACTCTTAGTTTGAAAGCAAGCTTCTCAGTAACAACAATAAAATCCAGAGGACACTTGAATAACATCTTCAAAGCGTTTTGAAAAAATAACTGTTAACTTAGAACTGTGCACCCCACAAAATTATATTTTATTAAAGGCATTTTTCAGACGAAGAAAAGGGCTATTTTAAAACCAACACACTTTCGGGGCACCTGGGTGGCTCAGTAGGTTAAGCGTCCGACTTCGGCTTAGGTCATGATCTCATGGTTCGTGGGTTCAAGCCCCGCGTTGGCTCTGTGCTGAGGAATAGCTCAGAGCCTGGAGCCTGTTTCAGATTCTGTGTCTCCCTCTCTCTCTGACCCTCCCCTGCTCACGCTGTCTCTTATCTCTTATCTCAAAAATAAATTAAACATTTAAAAAAAATAAAATAAAACCAACACACTTTCACCAAAGCAACTTCTAAAGAGATCCTTTAAGAAAAATAGATCTAGGGGTGCCTGGGTGGCTCAGTCGGCTTTGGCCCAGGTCATGATCTCACAGTTCGTGGGTTCGAGCCCCATGTCAGGCTCTGTGCTGACAGCTCACAGCCTGAAGCCTGTTTCTGATTCTGTGTCTCCCTCTCTCTCTGACCCTCCCCTGCTCATGCTGCCTCTCTCTCTCTCAGAAATAAATAAAACATTAAAAAAAAAGAAAAAGAAAAGAAAAATAGATCTGATCCCAGAAAAATTGGTCAGAGATGCAGGGAAGAATAGTAAGCAAATAAAACGGTAACTACTTTGATAACTTGAAACGAGTATTGTCTGTATTTTTAAAAAGTTATGAAATACATGAATTGTGGGATTTAAAAAGGAGCAGACTGTAAATTGGGAGGGCTAATGAGAGTCTAAGTAGTCTGAGGTACTTGATTAAAGATGGAATGAAGAGAGTGTTTAATTCTAGATTTTATAGAGTTAAAATTTTGTGAGTAAATTTAAAGTATTCACCAGAATAACAGAAATGGGGTTCATAAATTTCAACACATGCAAAAAAGGCATTACTAAAAAATGAACAGAAAAATTCCATTCAAAAAGGCAACGAAAGAGCAAAAAGGCAACAGAAAAAAAATCGTACCAATAAAATTACAAACAAGGCAAAAACAGATCCAAATATATAAATAATCAAAACAAATATCAATGTATCAATGTTACTAGTTCAAAGAGAGTTGAGTTAAAGAAACAAAACTCAGCTATGTGATATTTATAAACAGCACACCTAAAATATAAGGATCCAGAAAAGATGAAGTTTAAAGAAAAGGAAAAAGCATACATTAAGCCAATACTGACCAAAAGAGAGTTGGGGTGGGTATATTAATATCAAACTAAATTTTTGTTTGTTTGTTTTATTTTATTTGTTTGTTTGTTTTAGTGTTTATTTATTTTTGAAAGAGATAGGACATGAGCAGGGGAGGGGCAGAGAGAAAGAGAGGGAGACACAGAATCCAAAGCAGGCTCCAAGCTCTGAGCTGTCAGCACAGAGCCTGAGGCAGGGCTTGATCCCACAACCTTGGGATCATACCTGAGCTGATATCAAGAGTCAAAAGCTCAACACAGTGAGCCACCCTGGAAACCCTAGATGAAAAACACACTATTAGCAATAGGATCACAGCCTTATAATTTAAGGTTCTACTCACTTAGAAGATGTTCTAAACTTGTATGCACTGAATAACATAGCCCCAGTATACATATAAGGCAAAATTTGATGGAAATACTGGGAGAAGTTAGCAAACCCATCATCATAGTTAAAGACTTCAAGTATTCTTTCTCAATTAACAATGGATTAAGCAGACAAAAAATTAGTAACATGATTAACAAGCTTGGTTGGTGGCCATATATAGAATTCTTTGCTCCACAACTAGTGAATATACATTTTCCCAAGCAAACTGCACATGGATCACCAAAAAACATTAATCACATAATTGGCCATCAAAATAAGTGCAACAAATGTTAAAGGATAGGTCACATACAGTGTAGGTAGCATATTCTTTGATCAGAATGTAACTAAGTTAGGAGTCACTAACATAAAGTCCATCTTTAAAAGTCCCATACATTTGAAGGGTGCCTGGGTGACTCAGTTGGTTAAGCTTCTGATTTCGGCTAAGGCCATGATCTCACAGTTTGTGGATTTGAGCCCCCACATTAGGCCCTGTGCTGACAGCTTCAGATTCTGCTCCTCCTCTCTCTGTCCCATCCCTGCTCACACTCTGTCTCTCTCTCTCTCTCTCTCTCTCTCAAAAATAAATAAAACGTCTAAAATTTTTACCAATGAAAGTCCCATACATTTGGAAAGTTAAAAACCAGACTTCTAGATAACTTACAAGTCAAAGGATAATTAACAGAAATTAAATAATAATACATAGAACAGAACAATAGTTAATATGCTATATTTCAAAACTTTTGGGGGAGCTAAAGATGTTGCTTTGTGCCTTAAATGCTTATATCTTCAAAAAGAAGAGAAAGGCTAAAAAGTAAGTATATAGAAAAAAGTAGAAAAATAAAGTAGAATGTCATTTCCCAAAATAAAGAAAATAAAGATGGTGGAAATCTGAACTATAAAGCAAGTAAATCAACAAAGCCAAAATAGACTAAAACAACTGATAAACCTCTGGCAGGATTGATCAAGGATAAAAAAATTTGAAAAGTGAAAAAGAAACATCACTACAGGCAAAACAGATTATTTTGTAGATAGTTGATAAAAGGTAACAAAAAAGTTACAGCATGATTATCTGCAGCCTCCCCCAAACATTTTAAAATTTAAATTCAAAAGAAATACTAAGAATTTTATAAGATAAGGAGGTGGAGAGGCAAATTCAGTTGCATTTCTGTACACCTGCAATAAATAGTTATAACAAAAAATAATTTTAAAAAGCAGATGTAATTTACATGAGGAAAAACACTGTAAAGTACCTATAGAATAAATGTAGCAAAAGATGTGTAAGGATTTTATGGAGAAAAACAAAGCTACTGAAAGCTTTAGAGAAGACCCAAATTAATAGAAAGACATACCACAAACACGGTTAGGAAGGCTTAATATCATTAAGATGTGAATTTGCTCCAGATGAATTTATCATTTCAATGGAATTCCAAGGCTTTTCATAGAACTTGACAAGTTGATTCCAAGATTTATGCAGAAAACCAAGGGGCTAAGATAATAAAAGCAAAAGGTGAAGGACTTGCTCCACCAGGTGTGAATTACCAGAAAGCCAAGATGGCGCTATAACGGCTCACGCAGGGACAAATTAGTTGTAACTTAAGAGAGATTCTCCTTGATCTGTGACTCAGTGGTCTACCTGGGCAAAGCAAGATTATGTAAGATTGTGTCAATGGTGCTGGGACAATTGAATGCCCATATAGAAAACAGTGAAATTGGATAAACAATTAAATTGATCCCATCCTCACACCATATACAAAAACAATATCCAGGGGGATTTAAGACTTAAAGATGAAAGGCAAACATTTGAATATTTTTTTTAAAATAGATTTTGTGTTTTAGAGAAATTTTCGGTTGACAGCAAAATTGAGAGGTACAGAGATTTCCCAGATAGCTCCTGCTCTCTGCCCGCACATGGCCTCACCCATTATCAGCATCAGCCACTGGAGTGTATGTTCATTAGAATTGATAGGCCTCCACTGAAAGATCATAATCACCCAAAGCCCACAGTTAACATTACATTTCACTCTCAGTGTTGTACATTCTACGATCTTAAACAAATGTTTGCCTAATGATAGGTGTCCACCATGATGGTGTCCACACAGAGTAGTGTCATTCCCCTGAAAATCCTGTGCTCTGCCTATTCCTCCTTCCTCCCAAACCCTGGCAACCACTGATTTTTTACTGCTGCTATAGTATTGTCTCTTCCAGAATGTTATATAGATGGGGTCATATAGTAGACTTTCTTCAGATTGGCTTTTTTTTTTTTTTTAGGAATATGAATTTAAGTTTCCTTCATGTCTTTTCATGATTTAATATCTCACCTCTTTTTTTTAATTTTTTAATGTTTTATTTATTTTTGAGAGAGAGAGAAAGACAGCGTGAGCAGGGGAGGGTCAAAGACAGAGGGAGACACAGAATCTGAAGCAGGCTCCAGGCTCTGAGCTAGCTGTCAGCACAGAACCCAACGCGGGGCTCGAACACACGAACTGTGAGATCATGACCTGAGCCGAAGTTGGATGCCTAACCAACTGAGCCACACAGGTCCCCCTACATATTTATTTTTGAGAGACAGAATAAGAGAGAATCCCAAGCAGGGTCTGCACTTATGGTGCAGAGGCTTAATTCTATATTCCATTGTCTGGATGGACCACAGTTTATTTATCCATCCACCTACTGAAAGACTTCTTGGTTGCTTCTGAGTTTTGGC